ATTAGTTGCTATGTGCACCTACCTGCTTTGGAGACCGCCCATTGGGGAAGGGGGCAGGAACTTGCTGAGGTTAGAGAATGGCCCTGACCCTGAAAGGTGGACATAGTCTCTATAAGTCTTCCTCGGCTTGCTTTTTTCCCCCTCAAAAGATAACTCTGTTGCCAACTTAGAAGCAACAGCTCTAGAGATAAGAACCCAACCCATCAATGGGCAAGCCTTTTCCACCAGGCCTTCTCCAACGGCTGTCACAGGTTCTCTCTATACCATTAGGGAGCTCAGACACTATTATTCTATTGTGACTCTCTCTGGCCTGGAAGAGAGTGACTGAAAACAACAGCAAAGCTATTTGTATTTGGGAGAGAATGGGACATCTCTGCTCAGCCTGAATGTTAGAGAGAATTCTCACGCAGACTCTTGAGGGCAGTGAAGATGGAGGTCCACTGTGGCTTTTTGTTTAGTTGGCTGGTTCAGGGCAACAATGAAACTAAAAAAAAAAAAAAAACAAAAAAACAATTAGCTCTCACTGTCCTGGCGATGTAGTCCTCAAATTATAGCCGTTCTGGAGGCTGAGGCAGGAGGATAGACAGTTCAAGGAGTGCCTGAGCTCACCTAGTGAGCTCAAAGACAACCTGCTTAATTAAGACTATGTCTCAAGATAAAAAAGTTTAAAAAGGGATGGAAATGTAGCTCTGTGGTAGAGTACTTGCCTGGCATGTGCAAGGCCCCAGGCTTGAACGCCAGAACAAAAGAAAAATCTCTCTGAAAATAGGTATAGCATAAAAGGACTTGCTCTTCTATAGGTTGAAATTGCTGAAGAATTTTTTTGTTACATTTTTTTTTCCCAAAAGAAAGACACACAACCAAAGAAAATCCTATTGGGAGAGAAATCCATCTGGTTTGCTACAGCAGTTCCAGGTAGCTCCATTCCCAAGACGTGGAGTAACCCAATTTACAGTTTCTGTATTCTCACCAACTAAAGCCACTTTCTGGTCTTGGGAGACCTTGCTAGCATCTATCTCTGAATGCCAGCATCGGCTTCTCAGCGTCACTCCTGATGGTCTCTGGCCATCAAGAACATTGCAGAGAGCCTGGTTCCCTCGAGATGCCTAATCTACGGCACTGCACTGGGAATGGCAGCTGGCCCATTGCTTCTATCTGCCTTGCCAAGCCCAACGATATGCACATGCTTCTCGCTGACAAGAAGTAGTTAGAGTACCAGAGGCCAGACACAAAACCCAGCTCGTGCACCATTTGCATATGGCAAATGGTTCCATATATATTTCAATTTCAAGAATTAGAGAACCGCATCCAGGGGGTGGTGGTGGCACATGCCTTTAGTCCCAGCACTCAGGAGGCAGAAGCAGGCAGATCTCTGTGAGTTCGAGGCCAGCCTGATCTATAAAGCAAGTTCCAGGACAGCCGGGATCACACAGAGAAACCCTGTTTCAAAAAAGCAAACAAACAAAGAATTCGAGAAGCTCTATTGGTTGTCAGTAGTTAAGGAAGACTGCATTGCTGTTCTGTTTGATGATGAAAGCATCTATTATAAGCTCTGCCATTTCATTAGTTCCTCTCTATAGCTCTATCAGGCAGCAAGGACAGTGGTCTGGACTCTACACCAGAGAAGGACCATGAACACCACTTTCCCTCTGCAGCACAACCTGGTTCTTCTTGTTTGGATATTTTTAAAGGTCCTTTTGGGATTTGTATACATTTTCATATGTGTGTATCATGTTCCTCGCTCACAGTCACCCTGCCCATTACATCGGTTGGTTTTGTGCCTCATGTGGGTACGGAATATAAAAGGAAGGAAGAAGGACAGTGGTCATGAGACTTTCTCAAAGAAAGAACATCACAAAACAGTTTTTGACTTTACAGCTTCACTATATTCCAACAGAGTCAACTCTCATCACTTTTTATTGTTTCGTTTTTGATTTTTGAGACAGGGTTTCTCTGTGTAGCCCTGGCTATCCTGGAATTTGCTTTGTAGACCAGGCTGGCCTCAAACTCAGAGATCTACTTGCTCTGGGACCCAAGTGCCGGGTTTAAAGGTGTGTGTCATCATGCCAGGCCAGTTCTATCAGCCTTAATTAGAAAGGCATATACTACTTAGCTATATAGAGATTGTGCACAATCATTTAGTCAATCCATCCTTCTGCTTGAAGCATTTCTTTACCATACAGAATAATGTTTCACTGTGGCATTTTCATCACGATGAATCACTGTGCTTTGCACACACTCACCCGTCTCCCCTTCTTGGTAGAGCCTTCCTCTCTTCCTCCCTCACTGGTCTCCCTCTTCTCCCAGCCAGCCCACTGCCTGCTCTCAGAGCATTTGCATTGATAATCTGTAAAAATACAGTTCTGCCTGGTGCGAGGGCCCTCCTCTTCAATCCCAGCACTCAGAGGCAGACACAGGTCAATCTCTATGATCTCACGGCCAGTCTGGTCTTCATAGCTAGTTCAAGACCAGACAGAGCTACATAGTAAGAGTCTGTTCCCCAAAGAAAAACAAGGTAAAGGAAATCAAGTCTAGGTCTGTATGTGAAAGAAAAATCTGTGAAATAAACACGAAATTTCTCCCAATAATAAAAGTTGCTGCTTATGCAAACAAGGGGTTGCAAATGTGGGAATTATAATATGATCAGCACCTTTCCAGGCCACAGCTTACGTTGTTTGTGGGGAAACAAAGAGAAAATGATTTGCCTGCGGTTCGGATTCAGCATTCATCCACCTGAATTAAATGCTCGACTCTTCTTAATTGGTTTTACAAATTAGCATGGGTCCCTGTTGTGGATTATTTGTACACTGTGTGAAGATGTATTTGCTGTGGTTGCTGTAATAAAAAGCTGAAGGGCCAATAGTTAGGCAGGAGGTATAGGCAGGATTTTCAGGGAGAGAAAGGAAGAGGAGGAGATAATTGAGGTGCAGGGAGATGCCAACGAGACTCGGAATGGGTGGGATATAGAGAATGGGAAAGAAACGTAAAAAGCCACGAGAAAAATATAGTTTGTGACCAGTCTTGCTCTGCCCAGGAGCCAGCTCCCAAATAATGACAAGGAGATTTCTTATCAAGAAAGCTCGGCCTTGGCTAGGCTTCTCCCACTATCTCTTATAACCTAATTTAACCCATTGATATTAATCGTTTGACTTGTGGCTTTTTACCTTTCTTTCCCGTTCTGTATGTCTGACTCCTTCTGAGTCTTGTTGGCATCTTGCCGCACCTATGTTATCTCCTCTTCTTCCTCTCTCTCCCTGGGAAGTCCTGCCTACACCTCCTGCCAAGCTATTGTCCACTCAGCTTTTTATTACACCAATACATCTTCACACAGTGTAAAATATCCCACAACACGTCCCTTTCCATGCGTTAAAGGACAATAAAGCTTATCTTTTAAAAAAATGAAAAGCACTAAAAGGGAAAAAGAAATAAAGAAAAATACCAGCTAAAAACTTTCAACAAAGCCTAATTCATTACAAACCCACTAACCAGAAACGTGTGATAGGTCAGAAAGATAACAAGGCCAATGTGAACCTTTGGCCTAGTTGTGCAAGCGTTTGCTAAATCAATGAATGGAAACTATTTCAGAGAGGATTGAAACTTAAAAAAAAAAGATGAGTAATTATTCTAAACATTTACAATAGAAAATAACAGTTTAGTTATAAACAACTTATCCATAACTTAGATCACGTGCCTCTACGAAAATCTTCTTTAACCTCCTTACAGGATTTGCTTTAATGATAGTGCCCTTTCAATTTTAAAATGAACATGAAATACATTTTAAAAAGAAAACTGAAAGCCTTTTCCTAGGTGAAATGGTCCTTTCTTCCTTCCAGTGTCCTGGCTGAAAGAGGTTACTGGGTGTTCTAGATTCATACATGAAGTATAAAAGTAGCCTGTCTGGGTTCAGATTCACCACCTGGGCGTGCTCATGATGGTGACGGGGCCTTTATTTCTTTACCTGCAAAACGAGGTAATGAATATCTAAGACATTTTAAAATTCTTCCTAAAATTTTAGACGTCACGTATACCAAGGTGAAGCACTGGTCTGATGAAACCACACCCCAGCTGTCACTGGGCCATGGGACATGGCGATCATTTCAACGCCACAGGGAAACGCCATCTTGGAAGCCTAGGGTATGGTATTTTTATGCCACTGCCCATCACACAAACCTTTGAACTCTTCAAGTCTCCTTTTTTTCAGATCCCTTGCCAGAAGAAACCCAAACTAGCCCGCCAGGTACTCTTGGTTATGCAGAGGTCTATCCAAGCCGATGCCTCTTTGTCTCTAGAAAGGTCTCAACTCTCTTTTGAAGTTCCTACTAGAAGGCACCTACAGTCTTTCCTCATCCACACCCTCCAGAAACTCCTGAACAGCTCTGCTTGGGAAACCCTTTTAAATAAATTCCTCTGTTCCTTCAAGGCATTCAGCTTCATAACATCGTCTTAAAATGTTCTTCAAAATCTGTTGTCGAGCCTGAGCTCCTCATCTGACTAAAGACACAAAGGGGTGAGCTGGAGCTCTCATGCTGGTGAGTTGAGCTGGAGACCAGTTTGGGGACTGTCCCTTTGGACACCACAAAGAGAGAGAGAGAGAGAGAGAGAGAGGAGAATAGTGACGCACCTGAATAGGTCCGCTAGAGCGGAGAAAAACTGCTTGCTGTGGATTGAGTAGGAGGGCAACACTCGCGCACGCGCGCGAACACACACACACACACACACACACACACACACACTCACACACACTCACACACCGGTGAGAGCAGGGTGGAGAGGCAGCACCAGGTATATATCTGACAACCGCAAGGCTCGGATCCGGACGCGTCTCTAAGCGGGTATCACAGAGCCCTCCCTGACATCTTGGCAGGTTACAGTTAGAGCATCCTTCCGCCCCGCCCGGCTCCCCACCCCCCGCGAACTCGGGTCCCCAGTGTCCTCTAGAACGCCGGCGTGGCTGTCGCGCTTCGAACCCCCTGGTCCACTCTCGCCCTGAGCGCCGGCGGCCGCGTCTCTGGCCAGCCTCCGGGCCCCGCATCAATCATTAACGCGGCGGCCCGAGCCGCTGCAGCCCCAGAGGGGGATGGGGGGATGGTAGGCGACGCGAGACAGGGGACACCTCCATCCCTCGCCGCGGCGCAGACACCCTAACCCCGGGGGCCCCCGCCCTGCGCGGCGCCGCCCTCCCCCGCCAGCGCCTCGCGCACATCCCGCCTCCCGCCGCCCGCCCCGCGCGCACGATGCCCAGTCACCGCCGCGCCGCCGCCACCGCAGTCAACCGCGCCACCGCCGCCACCACCGCAGCGCGGCCGGCTGCGCGCTGACACAGGCGAGCGTGGCGAGGGCGCCGCCGGGAAGCCGCGCGCAGCTGTCCCCCGGTGCCCCGAGCTCCCGGAGCAGCCGGCTCCCAAGCCGAGGCCGCGTCGCCAACCTGCGGCCGCGGTCCCGCGCGCACGCGCGCGCACAAAGGCTCCGACGGCGCCTGGCGCCCGAGGTGGCCTTGCGCGCGCTCTAGCTCAGCCAGGGGCACCATGCCGCGGCGCCTGCAGCAGCGGGGCGCGGGCGCCAAGGGACCGCCACCCCCTGCCTCCCGGTGCTCGCACTCCGCCTCCGCCCCCCGGAGCCCGCCGGCCACCGCCGCCAAGCCGCTGCTGCGCTGGGACGAGGTACCCGACGACTTCGTGGAGTGCTTCATCCTGTCCGGCTACCGGCGGCTGCCGTGCACGGCGCAGGAGTGCCTGGCCTCGGTGCTGAAGCCCACCAACGAGACGCTCAACTTCTGGACGCACTTCATCCCGCTGCTGCTGTTCCTCAGCAAGTTCTGTCGCTTGTTCTTCCTGGGCGGCAGCGACTTGCCCTTCCACCACCCCTGGCTGCTGCCGCTGTGGTGCTACGCGTCGGGAGTGCTGCTGACCTTCGCCATGAGCTGCACGGCGCACGTGTTCAGCTGCCTGTCGCTGCGCCTGCGCGCCGCCTTCTTCTACCTGGACTATGCTTCCATCAGCTACTACGGCTTTGGCAGCACCGTGGCCTACTACTACTACCTGCTGCCCAGCCTGAGCCTGCTGGACGCCAGGGTCATGACGCCGTATGTGCAGCAGCGCCTGGGCTGGCACGTGGACTGCACCCTCCTCATCGCTGTCTACCGCGCCCTCGTGCTGCCCGTGGCCTTCGTGCTGGCCGTGGCCTGCACCGTGGCCTGCTGCAAGAGCCGCACTGACTGGTGCTCCTACCCCTTCGCTCTGCGCACCTTCGTCTTCGTCATGCCGCTCAGCATGGCCTGCCCCATTATGCTGGAGAGCTGGCTCTTCGACCTGCGAGGCGAGAACCCCACGCTCTTCGTGCACTTCTACCGCCGCTACTTCTGGCTGGTGGTGGCCGCCTTCTTCAACGTCAGCAAGATCCCTGAGCGCATCCAGCCGGGTCTCTTCGACATCATCGGCCACAGCCACCAACTCTTCCACATCTTCACCTTCCTCAGCATCTATGACCAGGTGTACTACGTGGAAGAGGGCCTGCGCCAGTTCCTCCAGGCGTCCCCTGCCGCGCCCACCTTCTCCGGCACGGTGGGCTACATGCTGCTGCTGGTGGTTTGCCTGGGGCTGGTCATCAGAAAGTTCCTGAACAGCTCGGAATTCTGCAGTAAAAAGTGAGCCTCCACCCGGGAGGAGACTATGGTTTGCCCACCTGTTTGCGTGGAGTTTCTGTTGTTATTGTTGGTTTGTTTTCAAGTTTTGTTGTTTCCTTTGCTAGAGGAGGGTGCTGTAGACTATAAGGAAAAGATCTGGGCTAGTTGGGGACCCCCAGTCCACTGGCTTTGGAAGAGGAGATGGGGATGAAGAGGAAGGAAAGGGGCCCTCTGGGAAGAAAATTAGGTATTGTCTATGGTATCCAGGGATTTTGCAAAGACACTGAAGAAAATCACAGAACCCCAAGCAGTTGGCTTTCCTAACAGTCTTTTGTGTCCCTTAGTGAATCCAGGCAGGTATGCAGTAAAGAGGATAAACACAAATCCCTGGCTGCCCCCACCGCAGTCTAGCCTGGATTTGTCAAAAGAATGGACCTTTCTGTGTTGAGAAATGGGCACAAAGACACAAACCCAGGGCTTAACCCGCTAGACAATGCATGGAATGTGAACATAAGTTAATTATTTCAAAATGTTTATCAGATGTTATTTAAGTGATAATATATACAATGATCTTTTTTTCATAATTTATCAAAGCCCATGAGACGCGCTGAGTTTTCTCCGTCACGCAGTTCTGGTTTTGCAGCCTTCTACATCGCACTTGTGAGCTGGACATCAGGACAAGCTGCTTAAGCGCTCGACCACATTTTTAAACAGTGTTTTCTGAAGGCCCGTGATTGTCGTGATAAAGCCGAATGACTACTTAGGGACCCTGCTTAGACTATTGGTGAGGCCCCAGTGGTTTGTATAGGTCTCCAATTCCTACTTACTTTAATGTAGTCCACAAAACCCACCCTGGGTTTTGGTTTTTATTTTTTTTTATCTTTTAATCTGATTCTTTCCTCTCTATTTATTTAAGTTGCCACTAAAATAAATGTGCCTTTTGAAGCAATGCCCAAATGACTGGTCCTCAGACACCGTTCTTGTACCGGGAGAATAGTGTATTCTTACTACTTTTCTGCAAATCATGGTTGAACAGAAGGGAAGGAAGACGGGCTTGGTTTTCGGTTTGTAGTGGGAGCAGAAGTAGCGCAGAGGTGTACAGCGCATATGACTTCTGCAAGATTCAGCCCTCTAATGTGCCTGAGGTTCCTGGTGCAACCAACAAGGAATGGGAGAGAGGGCAGGAATGCACGTGACCTTGCTTAACGCTTAAAAGGCAATCAGGAGTATGTGAGGCAGTTCTATTATGAAAGTCAGGATCGTGCTACTTACTACTGAAATTTCTGAGTTAAGACTCCAATTGTCCAGTTAAACACCAAAGTCTCATTTGAATCCAGACTATGGAAATGATTGGCAGCTATTCCAGAAGCTTAGCAACATGCCCCCAGACTCTTCCAATGACCCGACTGGCCAGTGTTGTTAGACATTTCTTATACATGTTAACCTGTCATTAAAATGGCAGCTCTTCATCACAAACCACCGAGGTAGTGTATATTAAATATTCGTCACGCTTCTTGGTAAGCCCTTCTGGCTAAGAGCCAACCACATTGGTGAATGGGAGCCTCGGCTTCATGGTATAATTTTAGGCAAGCACATGGGGTACGTGAGCGGTTACCTCAGTACTGGTCAGACGGTGCTCCCAAAAAGGTAGCTGTTTTGTTTATGCTCTTAATTGCTACTGTATTTGTAAATAGTGAATCTTGGCACAATTCCCTGGAGGAACCAATGCCCTGTGTGTTTTCACGTGCACACACGAGTTAAATTCCTGTGTGCGTATTGACTTGAGGGCTTCTTGATGGGATTTTAAGTACACTTTGCACAACCCTATGAATGTCAGTGCCTCATCCTTTGCTGTGCGCTTACCACGGAGACTGAACCTCAGCGACTCTTAATTCCGCACCCGCGTTCAAGGATAACTGGAGATCAGGACACAGCCACGTCGGCTACTTGCATGTCACTCTTGTAAAGTCGCAAAGAATGTTCCTTTGTAAACTAGAGAAACAGGTTGAAGAGCATTTTGTAGGGTTTGTTGTTGTTTTGCTTTTGTTGAATGGGACGGGACCCCCCCCCCCCCCCCCCCCGGCTGACACACACACACAGAGAGACATCTGAAAGAAGCTGTGAGCTTGAGGACAGGAAAGAGGACCCAGAATTTGCCATTTTAGGCTTTGGCTGGAGGGCTTCCAGGTCCCCTCTTGCTCTGTGCTTTGTCTTTATGCAGAAGCCACTTGAGGATGAAATCATGCCTGTATCATTTTCCAGTGATTATGATGCATGAGCCAACGAGATGACCTGCTTTCTCAGGAAAGGTCTCCCCACCCCGTATGCTCCAGGGAAAAGGAGGATTCGCTCCCCCCTCCTCCTGGCATTTCCCTTCTCTGGGTTCCTTTCCTCCTCTTTATGAGCCTCGAGCATTGGCGATAGGGCATTCTAATTGAAAACAGAGGTTCTGCTTCCCTTCCTGTTTGCAGCTAGGTACCGCACACACCATCAAGGTCGGGGATGGCTTGACTCCCTGTGACCGGCTGGATTATATTATTCCTGCTGAGGCGGATAACGCTGTTTTAGAGCAAATATTTACTCGGTCCCCGTTTGCACAGAGCTAACCAGGCTTGTTACACATTTCAGGAGTAATGTAGCCCTCAGAATGAATTTCTTTAAAAAATACTTTTCCATGATCTCCATTTTGCCACATCCATTAAATTCGGTTTTGTTTTTATTACATTTAACATTTCCCAATATGTGACAAATTATGAAGAAGAATTCACTCTACTATCTTCATATAATCTATTTGGCAGCAACATTTTGAAGGATATTAGGAAATCCATCTTATTTTCACTTGTTAGTCACAATCTAGGTGGCATCTCCAGGAGCAACCCCTTGTAGTTATGCCTGGGAAATAACTGTCTGATTCTGTTCCTGTTACTCCGTGGGTTGGTCCCAGGGCTGGCTATAAGGTTTAGTTGGTTAGGGGGAGAGCCTTTTTTCCTACCCGTCTTGCCACTCAGGTGAAGAAGGTGACCTTCCAGAGAAAGGAAGTACAAGTCCTTCAAGTCGTGACTGGCTTGTAAAAATAAACATGATCTTTTCCCAGTGGCCATCCATGTTCCATAAATAACCCAGGGAGAAAGTATGGGGCTGTGTAACTGTCCAGAGTAGCCTTCGTCTGCTTCCATTCATAAACCCCACCTGTAAGTGCTTACAGTCAGAAAACCTCCTTTGTATGTGGGAACCATTGCTGAGAATGTAAAATTGGTAAATGTTTCTGCTTGGTGATGAATCTGGGGGCTAACGCCAATAAGTCAGGATAAGCCAGGATTCATTTCTTCCTTCCTTCCTTCCTTCCTTCCTTCCTTCCTTTCTTTTTTTGAGACAGGGTTTTTCTGTCCTGGAACTAGCTCTTGTAGACCAGGCTGAGCCTGGAACTCACAGAGCTCCGCCTGCCTCTGCTTCCAAGTGCTGGGATTAAAGGTGTGTACCACCACGCCCGGCTAGCCAGAATTTCTCTCTTCAAATCCCCCAGCTAATGAATTGGCATGAAGCTATGGTAGACAGGTGTGGTGGAAGTTACTTCTCAAGGGTTTTCTCATTGGCTGAAGGTGGCAGAATTCAGTTTCCAAACTGTTATTCAAAGGCAGAGATGGTTGTGTGCTAAGTTGTGTCTCTTAGTCTGCAGGACTCTGGACTCTGTTACGTGGTCAAACATACAGATGCTAATTGGATCTACTATATATAATCTTGGATAAATATATCCATCTAATTGAATATTTAGTTTTAGAATAGAACAAAAGAAGAGATGGCTACCTTTAAAATTAGATTATAAAATCTTAGAATGTTACCAGCCACTGGAATGGTTTTTCTCATCTTGTTCTTCATCTGCTAGGTTTGGCGTTGCTGACTCTGTTGTGGTCCTTTGACTTATGTCCACCTTGTCTTTGTGAAATCTCCCTAGTGATTACTGAACATCTACTGTACGTGAGACATTAAACAAGGATCCGTGCCTCCATCCATAGTATTACAAACGTTACCAGAGTTACAAGTTTGAGTTCTTCCTCCCATTGGTATAAGATCAGTATGCTAGAATCTTATTTTAATTAACACAGTAATTTATCTGCAGCTTTTTGCTTTTTTTCTCTGTTCCTTAGCCTAAAGTAAAAACAAACAAACAAACAAACAAACAAACCAAAAAAAAAACCCACTTGAAACCTTAATTTACCATTCAGGTATAAGAAGAATGTGTGTATGAAGAATTTAGCATTTATCATCACAGTAATGATATTGCTAACGATGAGCTACAGGAAGGTTTACAGCATCTACGCCATTCTGAAGAGGGCTCCATTCAAAGTGCCTAACATAAGGTGTAAGTGAGTGACTTTCATAGACAGTGTGGTAAAATCAAAGCAAGCCCCCTCACAGGTGTGAGCTTAAATGCTTAAATCCCCAGAAAGTTCCTAGCCTTTTCCTTTCTTCCTTCTACAGTTCTTTAGTGACAACTTTCAGAGAGCATCTTGAAAAGGAAATCATTTGTCAAAAGGGGGATCATACATACATATATATATATATATATATATGACCAAATATGCATAGGCATACACACACACGATTGGCAGAAGGTGTAGGTAAAATGGAGTAGGATTGGATTCAAGCTGCCAGTATGGGGCAGCCGCTCACCCATGGGCAGTGTGTGTTACCTGGTTTTAAATGTTGTCCCTAGAAAAGTGTGTGGACTCGGAGGGTGTCGGTGTTCAAACAGGTGGCAAGGGATCCTATTTGGCATCTTAATAATATCCTGTAGCTTTTGACTCCAGCACTGAGTGCCATGGGATATTTTGAGTAGTACGCTTATCCCGTGGCTTAATTTGTTTCCATAAAATTAGGGCATAGGTCAAAAAGGCATCAGGGCCCAATTGTGAAGCACATTTTGAGTCATTTTCTTGAAGGATTGCCAGTATTTGTTAACATGTATTGCCAGACGAAAGCAAACAAGCGTCCCCTGAGAAAGGACGGCCGAACCAGGCATTCAGGATATTCCTTTATGAGGGGCCATGAGCCTTCCTATTGAAGTCTTGGGGTCTTTGATATTGTTTTTCTTAATTACAAAACAATTATCAGTCCTTACTAATCAAGAAAACCTAACATAATTTTCTGTTGCCATTCCCCAAAGAACAAACATATTGCCTTTTTGGTTTGTGAATTTTTCACTCATTTGTAGGCTGTTTGGGATTTGCTTTGTTTTGTTTTAGCTTCTTACACAGTGTGTGAGCAAGCTGCAGAACTGGATAGTTTAGTTATCGGTCAGGACCCAAAATGCCCATTTATCTGGGAATGGCGGCAGGGTGTGCCTTTTGGAAGCTCCAAACACACACCTGTGTGCAACAATACGCAGTTCCGACTTGGTGCAGAAGGAGAGCAGCTTCTTTCCACTTTCGGAAACGCCTGCCCCCACCCAGTGTCAAGCTTCAGAATGTAACACGGAAGCTTTGATGCATTTTGTTCCGAACATGACACTCAAGGAAATGTCTGGAGTGTGCAAATTTATTCTCGGAAGTGTAAGAGTGGCAGGCCGCCTTCCGCATGCCTTACAACTCCACCCAAAATATGCAATAGACATTTGCACTCAAGGCAGAGTTGGGAGGAGTCCTCAGCTGGTTCTTTAGCTGAGCCATAAAGGCCTTGCTTCTCATGGGTTACCCCCCCACACACCAAGATAGGACACCATGTCAGTAAACCCTAGTTCTGGGCAAAGTGTCGGGACATGCTTCTTTTGGTTCCATTTCTATTTAGAAAGTATAGTTGTTGTTTTTTTTAACTTGCTGGATGCAAAACAAGACAATTCATGGGAAAAATTTTTAAACACATTTTAATTTTATATTTGAAAGGTTTGTAATAGCAATTTGTTTGTTTAAAAAAGCAAAACAAAACCAAAAAAAACGGGCTTTAGCACATGGA